CCTACCTACGGATTAATTGCATACTGTAAAGTTATGTAGCCTACTGTATGCGTGCTCAATGTTTTATTTTAATATATGACTATCTCCATATTCAAAGAAAAGTTCACTACAAATGTCTATAGTACTATGGCTATTGCTATAGGTTTTTGATGTGTTAGACTATATTGCAAGTAGCCTACATCAGTTTTTACCCTAAATCCCACTGTATCTGCTGATATTTCAGTCATTCAATTCAGTATCAGGCTCGTTAACACTTAAGTTAACCAATTATCACGAAGCAATGACATTTTAAAATATACTGGGGTTCTACGCTAAGCTTACAACTGTTTAATACAATGTAGGTAGGCTACTGTCAAAAAAAAAAAAACAGGAGCTAACTGGCAGAAGTAGTGTGACAATGACCTGTGCTAGCTGTATTTTCTGTTTTCTTCTTACCTCTGCGGCACTAACGTTAACTGTCCTCCGCTGCAGCAGCCGAATTTAAACCTTTTGAAAAGAGTTCGGTTAATTTTACGCATTACGCACTTAAGCCCTTTTTTTTCCTTTCTCAACGTTTTTCTGCACCGCCTTTCCTTTTTTACGGTCCATTATCTTGCTTTTACTGAAAATCAGCTCGTGTTGCAATCTCTCTGATGACGTGCTTGATTTTGACTGAACGGTTCGGTCGGCCCATCTCGGGACCAGGCGGCCGGTGTAGTGCCGGCCGTTGCCGACTGGGCCAAATGCTTTTATTATTAACATTATTATTATTATAACCATAGAGAAATCGTGCAAGCGATAAAAACCTGTCCTATGCGCTGTTGACCCGTAAAAACAATTTTATTTATATATATTTAGTAAAAATCTGACCGGCCCACATTAAACAAAATGGTCCAGCCCCTCTGGCATTTGCCAGAATTGCCAGATGGCCAATCCGCCCCTGGGTGTTACAATCAGTGGCGGCTCGTCGGGGGAGGCACAGCTTCCCCATAATTTTGAGGTGAAAATGGGAGGAGGACGATTTAATGTTAATAAAATTCAGAGGTCATTTCAGTTTATGTCTCAGAATGTGTATTTTTTGTTTGTAATTTCCACAGTTGTAATACCATAACGTGAAAGCGCCGCTTTTCTATCGCAAATGTGCCGAATCTGCTGATGTAATTACAACAGCTAGTGATAGAGAATGGTAGGGGGAGGCCGGGGGAGAGCTGAGCTCTCGTGCCTCCGTTGGTAAAAAAAATTAGCCAATCACCATCGAGTGTTCACTTTCAGCGCTGAGTAGTGTTGAGAAAAGAACCTTAGCTAGCCTCCCTCTGATGTCAACCATTCATCAAAGAGACGTAAATTACGTGATATTAGTTTGACCGTCTGCAGCTGCGCTGATAATGTACCAAGTACTTATGATGAGTAGCGATATTGAATATTTGATCACCAACAGATTTACCAAGCTGTCATTCAAATAGTATATACAAATTTAGGGAAAACAGCCTAAGCTGGATATAGGCTACAGCAGTCGGCTTAATTAAAGGGCGCAACAGGCAGCTCTCTTTTAACACAGACTTTTAAGAAGGGATGGATGTTTGCTTCAAGTGATAGGCCAGGTAAGTGAAATTATATTATCTTGCTGTATGTATGCATGTATGTCGTTTTCTGACTAAAAGCAACCAAAAAGCCATTTTAAAGTGGTTAAGCAAATTATAATAATAATAATCGGCAGGGATCCCAGACCAATACAATTACTGTGCCTCCTCTATTTTAAAACCCAAGAGCCGCCACTGAACAAGAGAGAGACCAGTCATCTCGTGATCTTTCTGAATGATACCATTGATTCTTCTGGCTCTATTTTAGTTTCTCAAAACCCCTAGTACAAAAAAAAACTATGCCATAATTTATTCAAAATACACTTATTTCATATAATAATAATAATAGGCAGGGATCCCAGACCAACACAATTAGTGTGCCTCCTCCATTTTAAAACCCACGAGCCGCCACTGGTTACAATGGGCCCAGCTTAGAACTATGTTATTCTATGGCGTTTGCAATGTAATTCACATATGTAACTTTTATGAATTCTGTTGAGAAACCATGAGAAACAAGTGAATAAATACTGAGAGAGAACTTGAATAATCATACATTATTAGTTCAAGAAAATTAAAGCATTCTTCCTGGATCGTGAGAGAGCTTCCTGTTCTGGGATAGCTGTGGGTGAGGGAGGGGTGTGTGTGTGTGTGTGTGTGTGTGCAGCTCTGTATTTTTCTGAGTGTGATGTGTTTATACATGAAGAAAATGTGTTTCTTCATGTATTTTTTCACATTGTTTTTAACTATGCCGAATAGTTGTGTTTGGTCATGTTATAACGTGCCTCTCACATGTTCCAACCCGTTACAACATGTCCATATTGCGCATGTTGTCACATTTCACTTCCATTCTTTCAGGGCAAAAAAAAAAAAAAGTATACACTGTATTAATGAAACAAGACAACATATTTGTACTAGACGTATGAAATTAATGTGGGGAAAAAATACTCTGAATCCCAAGTGAATTTAAATGAGAACCTACTAATTTACACTAATTTAGCTACACACTAATTCTCATTTATATGGACCCCCTGAAGTAGCCTTGGCCACCCCATGTATAAAACTCTAGTTCTGCCACTGGATACACTTTGTTGTCCCCTGATTTTGATTTAAAGCATTAGAGTTAATCAAAAGTTTATTAATGACTACAAGCTACTACAGTGCAGTACTTCAGTTTATGTTAAATCAGCAACTCTGTGACTTGCAAATCTTTTAGATACATTTTTTAAATTAATTAATTTAATAAATTAACTTTAAATGTGTTTATTTATTTTAATTTAATAAACTTAATTTTTTAAAATAATGTAATGTAAAAAACCTTTCAAAAAATAAATACAAAATAAAAAACTAGTTTGAAGTTGGCAATCCTTCCAGTGATTAATTGGGGAAAAAAATACAAATAAACAATGCATAGCTTTTTACTCAAAATATAATAAAAAGAGAGAGAGGTGGCTTCATACATTTGGAAGGTTCTTCATTAAAAAAATAGAAATAAAACAGGGTAAAAAAGGAAAAATGGAGTGAAGGAATGTTCCATAGTGGCAGCAGATCTGGAGGCACTCAGTAGGCCTGCCTGCGTCACCACAATAAAACATTTCTATGTGGGAGAGATGCAATCGTTGATTTATGATGGAGGTTATAAGGCTGAATAAGCACCAGGTGCACCTCTTTAATGTTTATTTTTGCACAGTACTTCACCCTTTGGAATAACACACACACACACACTATTACTTTTGCAGTATAAATGCATTTCTTCACTCATTATTTATTTATTTGTTTGTTTGTTTGTTTCATAATGATAAAAAAAATGGTTTGATTCAGTTAAGTTAAGTTAAGTGACTATCCATTTTGATTGAGGTCAAAATATTACAAGGTTGAAAACAGTAAATAACAGGAATAATTTTACTTTAATGTTTAATGTATGAACATCTATGTATGTACTAGATAATTTTAAAAAAGGTAAATAATTAAAAAATGGATACACACACACAAATCTAAATTAAACATAATTATCTATGTGCAATATGGCTGCATTCATATCCATTCTAGTTACATTTAATTCCTTACACAATTAGTTTACAGAATATAACAATTGTTTTTGTTTTAAAAATGGGCTCTGATACGTGAAAATCCACAGAAGTGCTTATCTGAGGGCAGGTAACAACATTTCTTGTCCTCCACATGGTGCGCCATGCCAGAAAAAGATTTTTAAATGACTACCAGCACATAGTGACAAAAAGTAGCTTTTTACTTACACTGTAAAAAATGACTGTGAATTTAACGGTAAAAGACTGTAAAAATGCTACAGTAAAAACCTGTTAAATGGTTAATGGTAAATTCCCCTATTATATACGGTGAAAAACTGTATTGGACATTACATGTAATTTTACGGTAGTACACCGTTTTCTTTAAAAGACAGTATAATTTACAGTGAATAACCGTAAACGCGTTTTTTTTGTTGAAATAACTATGTTTCTTCTTAGTTTTTTTCTTATCAGTTTTGTATATTAGGGTT